ACTGCAATGAATGGGCAGAGCAACAACAACAATTACAACAACAGAAAACAACAACATTAGCCGGCAAAACGCGTCACGCGACACGCGATTTGCTGGCGATTTTTTGGGTTTTCTTCTCATTTTGGTGGGCGTTTTTAGCACGAAAATAAATATATATAAAAAATATATATATATACACAGTATATACGAATGTGCGACTATTAAAGGGTAAATTTAATTGTCGAGCTATGCAATTGCATGCCCAATTGCAAAAAACGACACACACACACAAAATTTTTGCCAAACTAATTTTTATACAAAATTAAATATGCTCAGCCAAGCGTAAGCTCATTAGGATTAGGCCTCTTAAGATCTATCGAAATATTTGGGCTAATATATATATTTTTTTAATATATTATAGAGAGTATTTTTCTTTAGGTAAGCTAACTAGTTTTAGTTGTTTTCTATAACTTTTAAAGTTCATTGGTTCATTTCTTTTAGAGTTTTGTATATTCATTCTGTCTGTTTATCCTTGAGAAATTCACAATGCTAGAGAGTTTTCTTTTCGGCTTTTCTTGGGTTGAACAAGAGAGGCTTTAACACTGATTGCGTCTTGATAATTAATGCATAGCAAGAATGCGGCATGTGCTAATGAAAAGGCAAGGCAAGTGCCACCAAGAAGAGTTGGAAAAGGAGCTAAAGATGGAGCTAGAGATGAATATGAAGATGAATATGAAGATGAAGATGAAGATGAATCTGATGTTGCAGCTAGAGATGAAAATGAAGCTGAAGATGAAAGATTCAGCTACAGATGCACAGATGGATGGCGCCCATAAAAAAGAACAGAAGGAGTCTTCCGCGACAGAAGCAGAAATCTGTTATTAGCTGTCAACTCTCAACGGATGTCCCCATCCCAACACCAATTCAAACTCTAAACTACCAGCTCCAACTCCAACTCCAAGCTCCATCTCCATCCACATCCACATCCACATCCCAATAGCTTCAGACTTAGACATCGCCATCTCCATCTCCATCTCCATCTCCATTCATTGGAACGGAAACGGCGCAGAGCCTACGGATTCGATTCAATGAGATTGTATCGCCTTGCCAGAGCGTATCTACTTGGCCTACGCTCTCTTGGCCAAATTAATTTACGCCAGACACACACACACACACACACACACAGGGCCGGGATCTGGTGTTTTTCTTTTTCGATTTTCATTTTTCGGGGTGGGCGAAGCGGAGTTTGCTGCAATTTGACACCTTGTGGGCATTAAGTGCTTCCTCTGCCCACACGCTGCGCAACCGCAAAGCAACGCCTCCTCTCTCTTTGACTGTTTTGTGCGTTTGTGTGGCAAATGCAACAAATTGGTTGCATTTCGCACTGGCACTGGGAGCTCCACAACATTTGGTTCCCCCAATCCTCAGGCCCCAATCCCCAATCCCCATCCTCATGCCTCCTTCCTGGCCAGCTCGTTCCCCATTCGAGTGGCTGACATGCAACTGACAACGACGACGACGACGACGACGGCGGCGGTGGCTCATTTCGGGTGGCTGTCGCAGACGGCCCCAAACAAATGTCTGAGCACCGCCCCACCGGCACTGCCTCACCTCGGTTGCCCCCAACCAAAAAAAAAAAATATATATATTAAAAAAAAAACAAAAAAAAACGGAGGTCTTAACGTGTTTCTGGGGAAAATACACTGCAAGAGGGTAGCTTAGACTTGGCCAAGACAAGGTAAAACATGGGAAAAAGAAGTTTTAAAGCTCGAAATGTATATATAAATTGAAATAAACACCTATTTCTGTTGATTTAAAATTTTTTGTAAAAGGAATTGACTAAAAGCTGATTTTAGGGTATGTAAAGCTTCGGATTTTGGGATATTTTTAAGGCAGACTTGACTGTTTATGTTAAAACTATTTTAAAACTCAAGTTAAGTGTGGCTTGAAATATAATTTAAACAACACTTTGTTTGGTATATAATTTATCCAATATCAGGAGTAGAGTTAAAAATGATTTTAGGGTATCAAGAACTTCTTCTAATTTGGGCTAAAAACCCATAGAATATTTTGGAAATCTGTTAACTTTCGCAAAATATATTTTTCTAACCTAAATAGATCTTTGTTACTTTTGAAACCAACTTTTTATATTAATTATAAATCAATGTATGACTTTTAGGGTATCTAAAACTTCGTCTTTTGGCCTCCCCCATTTTTTCTCCATCTTCTTCGCTGATCATGATATGTTTGCCAAGAGAGCGAGATAGAAAGAGAGAGATCCCAAAAAACGAAACGAAATGAACGGAACGATATTTTGTATTTCTTTTTTTTTTTTTGCCGTTGCCGGCGGCTTGTTGTGGCTGCTCTACGTAGGCACATCTTGATCTTTTTGGAGTTGCTTTTTATGTTTTTTATTTATTTTTTGGTTTGTTTCTTGGCTGCTTTTTTCTTTGATTTTCTGTTTTGTATCTGTATCTGTCTCTGTATCTCTGTGTGTGTGTGTGCGCGGTGTTTTTTACACGCATTCATTAAAAATAAGTTAACAACTTTTAACACCTAACTGGGCGGCAGACAGTTGAATAAATGAATTATGCTGACGAATGGGACGACGCCTGAGGGGGGAGGGAAGCTGAAGAGGATGAGGAGGAGAGGGGGAGGGGGAGGGGAGGAGGTATCTTGGCCAGCTTGTTAATCAGTTAAATTAAATGCGAAATGAACAAAACGAATTGGCTGCTAGTTTGCTTGGACCCTGCTCTGCGTGGTCTTTGATTAGCCACAAAAAAATAAGAGAGAGAGAAAAAAAAACAAGCTAAAGCTGCTTTGGCTTTTCATTCATTAAAAAAATAAAAAATAAAAACGAAATACAAGAAAAACATACAAAATATATATGGAAAAAAGCGACCATATAACGACTAAATTATGCCAAGACTTTGTATAAACATAGAGATCTTTTGACTGTGGGTGCCACATAGAGTATCTTTTTTGTAACTTTTTTGTATCTGTAGGATGCAGCAGCCTTTTTTTTTACAGTGGGCGTTAAAGTGTGCCATCTACGAAGCCCAATTACAGGGCTCTACAAAAAAAACTACGAAATTATTGGGGGGGAAATTGCTTTTCCTACAACTAAACATTATGAAAATTATCTACTTTTACTTCCTGCACAAAATTGGACTTTCTGTCAAGTTGGTGCTTAGCCTAAGCTAACCTGGCTTAGCTATAGGGTATGTTTGGTATTTGTACCACTTCCGATCCTAGCTAAATCTAGATACCCTTTTAGGCTTTTACAGGGCATCAAGCGGCTTTGAATGTAAGACGAGAAACGTTTCAAAGTCGCTGCAACGTTAAACCGCAATCTGTTTTTAATTGAAAAAAAAAAAAATAATATGGAAAATGGCAAATGGAAAAGTGGAAACTGCGGCAAGCTGGGTAACATAATAGAGCATGATATATGCGGCACATATATATATATATAACATATATATATATTTATGTATATAACATGTATTGGAGTGAGTTCAGGCCATAAGGGAACAGGAAATGCAGCTAATCAAGCGTGTGAGCTGCAACAAATTGCATTCTATCGAGGTGTAGCTAGTATCTTGTATTCGTATTTGTATCTCAATCCCTATATATTTGTATCTATTTCTATATAGATATATTTGTTGTACCTTCTGGTAAGCGGCTTACGACGCCGATGCGTCTGCGCAAAAGGCAGGCCAACAAGCGGAAGGGAATTCCCGCTTTCCGGATTAGTAAAAAAAAAAGAAACAGAAGGGAATGTCCCAGGGACACTACGGGATTAGGGGTGCGAGCAGGTCCCGCCTCGACCTGGTTGTATAGGTGCTACCTGGTACTTGCTACCTGCACACGCTCGAGGGGATTTCCCCGTTGTGCCGACACGGCGTATGCGCAATATGTGTAGGGTATCTTATGCAACTCAGGCTTAGGCAGCCAAGGAAAACCCTCTAAGCCCCTCTTAAACTAACCCACACTTGTAGACCAATATTTTGTGGTAATAAAATCAGCAAAATGTTTATCAGTTTTTAGCTTTTGTATTAATTACTTGAGATTAAATGAAGATTCCACGAACAAAAAAATCACTGATAGGAAATAAATATTTCGCAGGAAAAGATGTCATATTTTATGATTTTAAAGGGAAATACTTTGGAATTGTAATTGAATAAATTTTGAAAGTTATAGAGAAATATTCGATTATTAAAATGCAATTTTTGATATAGAAATTTAATAATTAAAGCCCAATAAAGTTGGTATAAATAAATGCAAGTAGTTTTTAAATATTTGGAAAGTAAAAGAGAAATATTTTAGAATTGAATTGTAATTTTTGATAAAGAAATGTATTATTTAAAACGAATAAATTTGGAATAAATAAATGCAAGTATTTTTTGGAAAGTTATAGAGAAATATTCGAGAATTAAAATGCAATTTTTGACATAGAAATTTAATAATTAAATCCCAAAAAAGTTGGTATAAAAAATGCAAGTAGTTTTTAAATATTTGGAAAGTAATAGAGAAATATTTTAGAATTGAATTGCAATTTTTGACAATTTTTGAAAATAATATACAAATAAATAAATGGAATTTTTTTTAGAAACTTCTTAAGGTATTTTAGGGATTACGAGATCTTTTGGCAAACCTTTCTCAAAGCTATTTAAAGATATTAAATCATTTTTTATGCTGTAAACCCGTGAACTTTTGAATACATTTTTTCTCACTTTGTATTTCCTTAAATCCCTCAAAATTGAACTAAAATCTTTTCAAAAATTTATATTTTTTTGTTTAGAAAACAACCCCCCTCTAAATAGTTGAAAAATCGCTTATATATTTGCGACCACTGGTGTTTTGTTTGGGCAAGTGGAAAAATGGCAAAGTGGAAAAGCGGCAAATGGCTCGTGGAGAACGACACACGATATGGGAATGTATATGCTTAGCTTTATATATATATATATATCAGTATATTTGTATATAAAAAATAGTATAATATAATGGTTTACTGGACTCACCTGCTGGTCGGTTGGAGCGCCTGCCCGTGTCGGACTCCTCGAACATGAGCGGCGCATGCCGCCGCCCCTCCGCCCCGCCCGCCAATGCCAAACATAGAAGCAATCCGGCGAGGAGCAGGTGACGCAGATGGCAGGTTAACTTCTCGCTGGAGGTGGCTCTGCGGGATCTGCTGTTGTGGTTATCTTCGGGGGTGGTGATGCAGGTGGTGGCAAAGGTGGGGCAGGTGGAGGCGGAGACGGAGGAGGAGGTGGCTTCATCGGTGAAACTGCAGCAGGAACTGCTGCTGCTGCTCCTTGTCATTTGCAGAAGCTGCACTGTGCCGGTGGCCGTGGCCCATTCCGTTTGCTTCCTCTGCTTGATGGCCATTTGAATGGATTTTTATTTCCAAATTGCTTTGATGTTGTGTTAATGAACCCGATCTGGCTTCAGATCGTTTGTGTATATTATATATATATTATATATAGAGCACGTTTGCACACAGTGTAATAGTAACGACAAAAAAAATTATAAAACAAAGGTCAACCGGCACATATATACACACACACACACACTCGCGGTTCTGTTTTAGTATATAGCTTTTATTATTATGTATTATGTATTATATATAATATATATTCCGATTCCGATTCTGGGTTACTTCTCTCTTGCAGATTAGATAACACTCGCGGGGGTTTCGCGCGCCGATTTATTGGATTTATATATATATATATATTCTATTTGCTGCCTGCTTTCGCTATTTCTATTCGATTTTGTTTGCATAAATTGTGGCCTTTAGCTTTGACTTTAGCCTGGCTCGATTGTTCAGTTTTTTTTTAGGGGGCTCTATATATATATAGATATATAGATATATGGCAATTCGATTTTATTTCATTCTTATTCCTATATGTTCCTCGACTTTAGATTTTGTGTGCGTTTTGCGTTTTTTGGGTTTTGTTATTTGTTGTTTTCGAGAGCGGGTGCGACGGTGCGTCGAGGTTGTCGGCGGATCGGCGGCTTTTTATCTACAAGATACTGGCGGTGCGGCAGCCGCCGTGTATATGCTGTCGAGCTGACTGCGCTGCCTGCTGCTCTGCTGCTGCTGCTGCTGTTGCTGTTGCGATTGCTCTCGCTAGCTCGCTCTCCCTCTCCCACTCCCTGCCTCTTACTACCTCTGCCTCTAACTCTCTCTCTCTCTCGCTACCTACCGAAGCCCACTTCGGCTACGATCGTTTCTCGCTCTCTGCACTTCGGCTGGCTTGCAATTTCCTTCGGCTCGCTATTGTTTGCACTTTTTTCGCAACAAGCGGCAGCGGCAGGTGTGCCTGTGTGCGTGTGCGAGTGTGAGTGAGTCGCGTGTCGAAGAGATGCTTTGGCGATGACGAACGAAAAGTTGAATGAGCGCTGCCCGCTGCTGCTGCTGCTGCTGCTGGCGTTGCTAGTTCGGTCGCTGGCTGCTGTCGACGTCGCTGCGCCTGCGCAACCAACCTGATGGTGGCCAGCGCAGTCAACATGTTGCTAGGGCCTTTTGGCTTTGCATGCAACATGTTGCCGCATCGAATGCGCCCACTCACTAGACAAGGGGGGGGGGGGGGGGGGGAGGGGGCCGACAGGAGGAAATGTTTCAAACTTTTAACAATTTTTTGAGATTCACTCCGTTTTTTACCTCCATGAAAAGTCGCTCTCCCTCTCTCTCTCTCTCTCTCTCTCTCCCTCTCTGGGTTGTGCAAATTCCGCTGCCAACGTCGCTGCGTGGGCGTGAGCAGCGCTGCCTTGGCCACGTCCTTTGCTAACTCTCTCGCACACACACGCCCCCTTTTTGGCCAATCGCGGGACGCGTTTGGAAAAGGATTGCAAATGGAAATGAAAAAAAAGGAATAACGAAAAGAAAATAATAAAAAAAAATACAGAGAAAATGCCAAAAGGACCTGGCCCATTGGTCAAGGGAAAATCATGAAGAGTTCCTGGGAAACTCAAGGATCTTGTGAAAGTAAAAAACGATTCCTTGAAAAAATGAAGTCAGAAGCTTAAAAGAAAGTGAAGGAGTCATTTCCGACCCTATAAACCATATATATTCTTGATCAGCATCAAAAGCCGCATCGATCTAGCCATGTCAGGCAAAAATTTTTTGTTTTCGAAAATTTGGTCAAAAAATTTCCACAATTTTAACATATTGAAAAGGTCAAAAATTGATAAAATTTTAAATTGGTTCAAATTACAAATGTAGTATGCAGATTTATTAACCTATTAAAAACTAGCATAGAACAGCTTTCCGAATTGAAATGAATGCATTTTTGGCTTAGTTATGAGAGTTTTAAGCTTTGATTTGTTGTAAAATTGCTTATAAAAATATGAATAAATATTGGCTGAAAGAATGGCATTATAATTTTATTCAGAAGTTTAAAACGATGTGAAGGAGTTATCTCCAACCCTATAAATTATATATATTCTTGATCAGCATCAAAAACCGAATCGATCCAGCCATTTTTAATAGAAATTTTTTGTTTTCGAAATTTTGGTCAACATTTTTCCACAATTTTTGACATATTGAAATGGTAAATAATTGATAAAAATTTAAATTGGTTAAAATTACAAATGTAGTATGCAGATTTATTGACCTACTAAAAACTAGCACAGAACAGGTTTCCGAATTAAAATTAATGCATTTTTGGCTTAGTTATAAAATTTTTAAAACTCTGATTTGCCGAAAAATTTTCATATAAAAATATCGATGAAAATATTTATTCCTAACACCTTCAGATTTATTATGTCAATTGAAGATTTAATTTCTAAATAACTTTCGTTCTCAGTTCCCTTTTCCTGACCTTTTATCATCGTTCGAAAATCTTTTCCTTACATAATGATTGATAAAAATCCCAAAAATAGCTGCAATACAGTCTCTGAAATTCCTTAAAAAATGTAGAAAGCATGTGATCGAAAAATACGACATTTTCCCTTGAGAAACTATTAAATTTACACAATTAACGATAGTGAAATTGCTCGGAAAAAAGAGCCTTTTCCCGGGAGAGTCATAGGTTCAAGAATGCTAAAAAAAACAAGCTCTTGAATTTTCACAGAAAAACAAAAGCAACTTTATATGCTCGGAAAGTAGAAAAGTCCCTTTATGGCCGAAACATTCCATATATCATAGCGTAAAAAATATTATAAATGTTCTTTGGCCCCGGCACGTGTGATCGCAATTAAAAAACAAAAATAAAAAAGCAAACTTCTGTCCCGACGACTGTATATTAAGTATTGCTAATAAATAATGCGCGGAAAAATATGACAAGCCGAAGAATTCGAATATTCGGTTATTCAGATATATTCAGATATATTCGGGGGAGTGTATAATGGGATATATGTTGACCAATATGCGACCAAATATTTGCGGTTTCGGTTAATTAATTTGTTTCGCTTTCGCTTTCAGCCTTTATGCTTTACGTTTTCCATTCGTTTTTTTCTTTCTTTTTTGATATCGTTTTCGATTCTGAATTCTGGATTTTGATTTTGAATTTGATTTTGATTTCATTATCATAGCGCCATCGACAATAACATGTCGCGATATCGTTAAGAATCATTTCTGTCACATTTGAAATATAAATAAAACAAATTAAAATAGTTTTTGTCGGTTTATTAAAAGCCTCAAAATACGAAGAATGTAAGGCGTATGAAATAATATTCACAAAAATAGATGCTGCCAGGCAACATCAAAAAAGAAAAAAAAAAAAACTCTGTATAGAAAATCTAAAGAAAACAAGCCTTGGCTTTTAGCCGCATTTTCCATTCAATTTTCGTAGTCAATATATAATTCCCAGGGGTTTTTCTTTTGTTTTGGAAAATGCTGCATGAAAAATGTGATTGCAATTGCAGGTAAACAGGTTCCGTTCTATATTTAATCGGTTAGATGTATATAAATATATAGATATATATTTTATTTTAGTTGGTGATGTCTGACATCAAAGAAAACCTATGAATGGCAAAAATTTAATGTGCTTTTTCACCCCAAAAGAAACTAAGGTAGCACTGGATTTTTACATTTAATTTGAAGGAATTAATTGAGAAAATGTGAAAAATGCATAAGGAGTTAAATTCAAGTCTTCTAAGTAATAAGCTAAAATAGTAATACATTATGTGGAATGTTTCAAAAGGTTCTTTAAAAAGAAAATACTTTAAACTTCAATCTTTTACCTCTTAAATTATGACACATTATTTGAGTATCATTTTGCAGGGTATGTTGGCCTCGTTACTACCAACTTTGCCACCCCCCTTGGCTTTATTTATTTATGTTTGGCTTTTTTTTTGTAGCTTTTCCTTTTGTCAGCCTCATTTAATGCGCTGCTGGCAGAGCGGCGACGTCGTCGTCGTCGTCTGCAATTTGAAATATTCCTATAAATGTTTTGGCCTCACGGCCCCGCCGCAAACAAATAAAAACAAAAAATACCTATATACAGGCGGAGCAGAGTGTATATGTATATGAACGATATCTGTCTCTTGTCTATAAAAAAAAGGAAGAAGAAAATGTTAAATGTCTGAAACATGCGTACAAAATGCCATTGCAACAACAACAACAACACCAACAACAACACCAACAACAACACCAACACCAACGACAGCAATCAACAATCACCAAGAACCAAAACCAAAGATACACACGGGGGAAAAAATATAAATGAAGCAAAAAACATAACAACAAAAATACAAAAGCAAAATTTCTGCTAGACGATCAGAAAACAGAAAAATGCTTTTCCTTTGATTTATGTAGTTTTAGCGAGCGCTGCCAGCATCGACGTCGCCAACATAGCGGCAACATGACACACACACCATATTTATGTCCATATATCCCATGTATATACACATCATATTCGAACAATCCCGAACACCAACAACAACGTGTGTATAGGTGGGGAAAAGCGAAAGAAAATATGATTTGTATGTCAGTGAATAAAGCATTTGGGGAAAGTGTGCAAGGCATTTTCATTTGTTTTTCGGTTCAATTGTACTTTGAACAAATACAAAAACTCAGAAGGTCAACTTATAAGACTGCTCTTAATAGAGAGTAATATTATTGGTGAATAACTAATTGTTTGAATGCAAACTGCAAAATGTCTTTAGTAACTAGATTTTTAATGAAAATTGATAGGAGTATTTATTTAACTTGAAAATGGTTACCACAACTCATTGTTGGTGTATTTTTTTAATACTTTTACAATCCTGTTAAATGAGCTTTCTAGCTCAACTATTTGTTTGTATTTGTTGGTGCATATACTGTTGAACTGTTGGTAAAAGGTTTTGTTTAATAACTGCAACTTTTTAAGATTCACAGCCACTTTTTAACGTACTAGTACTTCTTAACCCTCACAAACTTGTTGTTGTTGTTGAATCTGTTGTTGAATCTGTTGCTCTCCCCAAACCGAGGGTCACTGGCAAAGGCGTGTAAATATTACAGCACCTCTGTGCCGCGTCACTAGAGCACATACAGTATATATTTATATATTATAAAGTATGTATATAGATATAGTTCGCTTATCAGTTGGAGCCCCAACACGGCTATGTCGGTGCTCCATTCGAGTAGCCGTGTTTTGTTTACAGGGCCCACAGTGTGTGGCCTATATCGGGCAGACAACTTTTGTGTTATGTGGGGGCTAACTGACTGACTGACTGACTAACTGACTGACTAACTGAACTGACTGACTGACTGATGATAAACTGCAATTGTTGTTGGCGTTTTCGATACTCGATCAGATTCGTTTCGTTTCATTTCGTTTCGATTCGTTTCATTCGATTTCGCTTCGGACTGGGCCGCATTGCGCATACGCCGCGTAATCCGATAGAACAGTAGCCAGTGTGTGAGTGTGAAACTCTTTGACAATGCCCGTCAAGGTGTCAATGCTTCAAAACCGCATTCAGCCAGCGAAGACTACGTAAATCAAGACGTTAGGTTCATAAATTCGATTCGAATGTGTTTGTAAATTATTTAATAGCTTGATTGACAGCCGTGAGCTAAGCCGATATCCGACATAAAGGTCTATATAGGC